ACAAACCGGGCGGCCCAGCGCGCGGGAGCAAACGGATTTTTGTCCGCTTTGTGTCCGCTTTCGACCCATCCGCGGTCCAAGTTTGCACCAGTTTTGGGGTGAAAAGGACAGCGCGCGGACGGGCGGGACGCGCGCGCGTGTCCGCCCCTGGACCGCCTGCCGGTGACACAAACCAAAACCTCCCTGCGGCCCCTTTGGCGCCATTCCGCCCCAAACCCTCCCACGTCCCGCCCGTCCCACTCCCTCCCCGTCCATGGCCGACGCCCAGCCGAACTCCGGCGGCCTGGCCGTCGACCCGCCCGGAATGGCCAAGAAGAAGAAGAAGGGAAAGGTGCCAAGGAAGCTGCGGTCGGAGTGCACGCCGGAGGAGATCGCCAAGTTGAACGCGGAATCGGCAAAGAGGATGGACCGGAGGGCGGTCGCCGAGAACAACATCGCCGCGGCCAAGAGAGCGGCCGACCGAGCTGCGATTGAGGCCGCGCGGCACAAGGCCGAGGTCGATGAGAAGGAGGCCATCGTCAGCAAAGCGCACGCCCTTCTCATGGATGGCATTTGTCGTCCGGCCGGTTTCTCTGGAGGGGCCGTCGGTCCGGCGAGCACAGGGTCGTTGGTCGCCCGGCCTCTGCACTGCCAGTCGCCGACGCCGTGGACCACGCCCTTGTCGCCCGGCTTTCCTCCACCAAGGCACGACGGCCAGACCCGTTTCGGGGGGTCGACGGACGTTAGCATGTTCACGCCGTCCACACCGCGCCCCTCGGCCGTCATCGACCTTAACGTCACCCCTGGGTCCAGCAGCGGCGGTCGGCCGTCCGTTGAGATGCAAAGAAAGTAAGCACGGCCGCCGTTTACCGGCACCATGTCGTCCCCCCGCGTCTTGTTCGATGGAATGCCAACACCAACGCCACCGGTCGACGACCCCTACTACGACCAGTTCATGAAGGAAAAATGATCTACGAGGGTGGGCACGTCCATGTCTACGACCCCGAGGAGACCCAAAGTCAGGATGGTCGTGGCCATATCACTGCCGATGAAGAGGCCGACGACCGTGCTGACTACTACCATGGTGACTCGTGGCACGAAGACGATGACATCTATGTCGAAGGTGATGGTGATGAAGAAGAAAGCAATGACGTTGACATTAGTGGCGAGCCATTGTTCATCGACGAGCTGACAGAAAGAGCAGAAGCACAAAAGAAGAGGAAGAGCATTCGCACGGATTCATACACACAAGATGAGGACAAGTTGATTTGCCAAGCTTGGATGGAGATTAGCCAAGATCCATGGACCGGCGCGCAACAAAAGGGTACTGTTTTTTGGACGAGAGTCCACAAAACATTCCATGAAAGGAAGTTCTTTGAGCCCTACCAATTTGAAAGCAAGCGTGGCATCGGCTTGATTCAGAAGAGACGGTTGTTCATCCAACAAGAGTGCAACAAGTATCAAGCCGCATTTGAGAGCGTTGAAGCACGGCCCGTGAGTGGTCTCGGTGTTGGGGACATGGTATGCTCTCATTCCTTGCCCTTTCCTTGCTACGGCCATGAGACTTCGGCCTTGTACATGTTTGCATGTTCACTTGTTGTTGATCATATGGTTTAGGCATTTCAATCTTTGGAGGCATTCAAGGCCCGGCACAATGACAAGCCGTTCACTCTTACGCACTGTTGGACTATGATCAACAATTTCCCTAAGTTCAAGGACCAATACCGTGAACTCCAAAGGAAGAGAGGCCTGAAGACGGCCAAGTTCGCCGGAGGTGGAGATGGCGAGGCGTTGAAGAGGCCGAGGGGCAAGACCAACTCCAAGGTTGACGACATACGTGATGCCTCATCCATGGCATTGCATGACACTTTGCATGGCATAATGTCGCAAAAGGATGTGAGGGACGAGAAGAAGCGGCAAAGCAAGGACGAGCAAATGAAGCAATACCTAGAGCTTCAAAGGAAGAAGCTTGAGATGGAGGAGGCGGCCAAGAGAAGGAAGATCGACATGGAGGAGGCGGCCCGGCAGAGGCAGCTCGACATGGAGGAGGCAGCCCGGCAAAGGGAGCTCGACATCGAGGCCGACAACGTCAAGGCCAGGCAAAGGCAGCTCGACATCGAGGCCACCAATGCCGCCACCAAAGCGAAGGAGATGTTCGACGAGCGAGAAGAAGAGGGCCTGGTTCAAGGCCAGGCAGAAGGAGATGTTCGACGCAGACGACCTGAACTAGGTCATCCGATCGGCCGTGGCCATTCTTTTTTGGAGGCTGGCATGGGAGCCGCCCGCCCGCTGGGCCGCTGGCTGTGTGCCGATGAGAAAAACATTCATTTTGAAGGCCGGCTGTGTTGCCGGCCACTGGCTGTGTTGCCGGCCACTGGCTGTGTTGCCGGCGAGGACAACCGTTCATTTTGGAGGCTGGCTGTGTTGCCGGCCGCTGGCTGATGCCGGTGATGGACGTGTAGGCCGCTGGCTTTGTTGCCGGCATGATGAACTGGGGCCGTGAACTAGGGCTTGGCATTTAAAACGTTGCTCTTTTTTTTAAATAGACGCGGACGGGATGGGGTAAAGAATGCGGCCGCGCGCTGGGCACACGGCCACCGCATCCCAGGACAGGCCCGAACACGACCCCATCGCCCTGCCCAAACGGACAGAATCCAGATAAAACGGACGTCCGTTTGGGGTCACGCGGTGGAGTTGGCCTTATAGCCTACCGCACCAGTGACTTGGGGCCACCGGTGCAAGACTCTCCTAGCGTTCAACCCAACCACGCATTGTAAGTGATCGACAAAATGTGTGAGCCAAAATGTAATATATAGGGAGTTAAGTTTAGGGGTTTGGCTAAGATCCGCTTTATTTTTTAACTTCTCAAAGTTGAGGAGTTAATTTTCTTTTCTTTTCTTTTCTTTTTGAGAAAATGGGACTGTTTCTTTTTTAGATGGAGAAACTGAAGAGTTAAGGTTTGAGGGGCTAAATTTGAGGGGGGGACTAGTATAAGATCTCACATTAGGTGAGATTAAGGAGATAAACCACAAAAACTCATATTTAGGCATTCCGAGACATTCTGAAATTATTTGAGAAAATATCTGCGTGTTGTTTCTACAACTTCAAAAAAATCAGCTCAAAACTCGATGTGCAATTAAAAATTCGAAAAAGAAAAATTCAAATGTGAATAGTGGTAGCTTTGGGTGAGCAATATTTTTTTGTTTCTATTTGTGTAGGTTGAATTAGGAGCTGAAACTTTTTAAGGTTGTACATCAAACATTGATGTGGCTCAACAATTTTTTTAAGATTGTTTGAACGTGTTTTGTATATGTTCATAAAAATTGATCTCGTTGATTCTCACCTAATGTGATTAGATCCTATACTAGTCTCACTCCTAAATTTGTTTTATTTTTTGTGGGAGATTGGTTCGGTTAGAAATTCTGTAAGGAAGCAACTATCACTTTGGGCCGACAGCCAGCCCAGGCCCTCTCACTGCCGGCCTAGAAGCGCGGCCCAGCAAGATTAGGATGAATGAACATGTGCGGCCCAGGTTGTGAACTGGACTCGCGTCCTCTTTTCTTTTCTCCTCCAACGGTCGGTCGCCGGCGAGACGCGACGGCAGCTGAGATCCGCCGCGGGCCGCGGCCGGAGAGAGGCGAGGGGATGCTCGGGGAGCATGCGAGCGGCGCGGTGGCGTCGTGGGTGGTGGAGCGGATGGGCACGGACGCGCACCTCTTCACCACGACGACGCCGCCATCCCGGCGTTCCTGGACTCCCGCTTCGACGCCGACGAGGTCGACGCACTCAAGTCGGGCGCCTCCTCGCCCTCGTAGCGCAGCGCCTCGACGTCCGGCGCCTCTTCCAGCAGGTTCGGTTCAATTCATCTCGAAATTCCCCTCCTCTCAGCCCACATGCCGCGGTCATGACGGGATTTGGATTGATTTGCGTGCGTGCGTCGCAGCTGAAGAACTTGGCGGCGCAGTCGCTGGAGGTGAAGCAAAGCAAAAGGGGAACTGGAAGTTGGTCTCGGCCCGCTATCCCCTGCATCGCCCGCCATCTGTTCGACGAAATGCCGCCTACCATCCTCCTTAGGTTCCTATTAGGTGGCTCTGTACACAGCGGAGAATAGTCCTGCCCAAGTTTTAATGCACATCAACATGGCTTCACGGGTCAAGTTAAACGGACATGTGGCCATTCCGTTGCTAGCATTTCGGAGAAATGACAGATGATTTCGCGAGGACTGTGGAGCAGCGCTAGAGGAAGGAGGGAAGCTTGCAGGCAGAGCATGCTAGTTTAGCTATACGGGCTGTTTTGGTCACCAAGGCACGATGAACTGATGATCACCTAACAGGCATGTGTGTGACCGCTTTCCTGAAGGTACACCACCACACTTGATTACATTGAAGCATTGCTTTGTTTAGGGAAACAATATGTAGATAATGATGTCCACAATTTCCTTCAGTTTGTTATTCAGCATGGTGAGTTGATGGCTGATGGCTGATGGTTGATGGTAAGTTCATTATTATTCAGTCAAAGTCAGCTTTCAATTATTGTCAAGTTCGTTTTTCATGGTCTCAAGGGATTATGCATCTGACTTTAATTAAGGCCCGCTCGCGCTCTGTCCTTTTATTATTTATTATGCTTGTGAACATGTTCCGCCAGCTTCACAGCACTTCCCTCTCGCACACGGTATAGCTGGATGATGTTGTAACTCGTGCCAGAATGGCCATCACCAGTTGATCATAGGAAATGGCAAGTCTGCTGGTATGAAATACAAACTCTAGTACTCACAGGTTTTTAATGTATTATATCCTGATCTCAATTTGACCAAATCTTTTATCCAACTCTTCTATTAGCTGGCCCTAGGATTGATAAGCACGTTAACTCTATTATTCGACCCAATAAGCAGCCAAAACAGCCATCTCAGTTGGCATAAGAAGAGCTGAACTTCCAGTACATCTTCACCATCTCCTTCCTAATCTCGCTCTCTCAGTTTCAAGGTCTCTCAAGGTTAGCCTAGCCCTCCTGCAACCAAAGCCATGGATTCCAAACAGATGGTGCATATGAATCAAGGAGAAATGGAAACTAGCTATGCTCGCAACTCCAGTTTTCAGGTAATTAATTTCTGCTCTTTTAATTAGTTCATAGTATTGCTTCTACGGTCCCTTCTCCTGAAACTTGGCTTCTGAACACTGACTCGTCAGGAATTTGTTCATACTATATATTGTACTGCTGAAAACTAAATTAACAACACAAACAAAAATAAGAACAATTCTGGGAATGATTAAAGAAGATTTCTGAAAAAAGTACAAGTCCACTGCAGAGTGCTGAGCAGAACAGGATGAAGCCCCTGATGGAAGCTGCGATTGTTGATGTATGCAGCAACACAAGCACCTTGTTGTGCGGAAAGATGGTGATCGCAGACTTGGGCTGCTCCTCTGGCCCAAACGCGGTAGCACTGGTGTCGATCGCCCTCGAGGCCACCCGCAACCACTTTCTTCAGTTGCGACAGACACCTCCGGAAGTCAGTCTACTCCTTAATGATCTCCCATACAATGACTTCAACATAGTGGTGAAGAGCCTGGTTGCTCTCCGGCAAATCAACGAGCCTGTTGTTGTAGCTGGTGTTGTACCAGGGTCATTCTACGAGAGGCTCTTCCCTAGTGGCTCCGTGCATCTTTTCTGTTCATCCAACAGCATTCATTGGCTCTCAAAGGTATGAATTTTACACTACAGTAGTGCATTTGTCCCTTCACTATCTGATCGTTTGGACGTACAGGCTCCTGATGCTTTAAGGATAAGCCAAATCCCTGCATATGATATCGATGAGAATGTTAGGCATGAAAGACTCCCAGTGGTCGCTGGAGCTTATGCACGGCAATTCAGGAAAGATTTCACAATCTTCCTGAAGCTGAGAGCCAAAGAATTGGTCCCAGATGGCCGGATGGTTGTTTCCCTTGCGGGGAGGCGTTCTGATGAGCTCGTCAGCGAAATCTCTCATGTCTGGGGAACTGCAGCTCAGATTTTAGGCATCATGGTCTCAGAGGTAAATGCAGAACTTCACCTTTCAACCATTTTGTCAATTGCTAACAAGCATGTGAGTGTTTGACATCCCGGGTTTCTCTTTTGGATAACTTGAGAGGGTATGATTGACAAAGCCAAGTTTGATTCTTTGTACATACCGGTATATGGACCTTCCCTTAAAGAGCTGAGAGAGATCATCCAAGAAGAGGGCTCCTTCTCAATCACAGAAATGCGGGTGCACGAACCTGCAAGCGGCATGGATAGTGCGCTCCTCACCCCAAACAGGATAGCAAATTGTATGAGAGCTGCATTCGAGCCAATAATAGTCCAGCATTTTGGGTCGTCCGGAGAGGTCATGGATGAATTTGTGAGGACAGCGGAGAAGCACTTGAGCCCGCAAGGCAGCTCCCGAGTCAATCAGACTCAAAAACCGATAGTTATGCTGGTTGTATCACTTACCAAGGCTTCACATGTCAACTGTGAAGCCTTCTCGGCCTCCTTAGCTGCTCAGACTTTAGCTCATGACGACTAGCAATGTACTTGAAAAATTATTATATTGTTGCCTTACAGCATTGGTGAGTTTGATTTTATTTTCATTTTCTGCGGGACCTACTTTGAATTGGTTTCGCAGATCGAGCCAGCTCTGCTCCACATGGTCCGAAGATATCGATGTGATATTGATGTGGATTCTCCCAGTGAACGTATAAAAAACAGCAATTCCCAGATCGAAAACAAACTCCAGCAGTGAATGGTTTTCAATGTATAGAGACCTGATCTGCATCTAACTATCATGTCATCCAGTATTTTGATATCAGCATTTGTTAGGCCCAAGTAGAGAGGAGAACAGTGATCCCCAGTTATAATACTACTCCCTCCGTCCCAAAATATAAGAACATTTTTAACACTATACTAGTGTTAAAAACATTCTTATATTTTGGGACGGAGGGAGTACATTTCATCCCTAGCAACTAGGTAAGCATCCAAACTTGCTTGCCCTAATAAGGTTTAAAATAAGGAAGCATTCTGACCCACCCTACTATAGCTGCCCATAAGCAGCAAGAAGCCCACGAAAGACTTCTGCGTTGATCATGGAGAAAAGAAGTACTTATATTGTACATCCAGTGCATTGTCAGCATTGCCATCCTGATCTGGTTCCTGCATATTCAAGATCTGGAGTTTAGCTCTGCTCCAAGCAAAGCCATGACCTCCAAACAGGTGGTGTATATGAATCAAGGTCAAGGGAAAACAAGCTATGCTCGCAACTCGGGTATTCAGGTACGTTTTCCCCACTCTTTGTAATTCACGTTTGCACAGAAAGTTCTTTGATTCCTTTGCTTCTCAAGACAGTTCTGTCAAGAATACGTTCACACAGCTTATATTACCGAGTAAACTATATGATCTGAAACATTTTAAAGTAAAGAGAACATTATAAAGACTGGATTTTCTGCTACGCAATCAATTGCAGAATGCTGAGCAAAAGAGGTTGAAGCCGATGATAGAAGCAGCCATTGCTGATTTATCTGGCAGCACAAGCACCAGCGCCTTGTTGCCAACAAAGATGGTGGTTGCCGACCTGGGGTGCTCCTCTGGTCCAAATGCAGTGGCATTAGTGTCGATCGCCATCGACGCCATCCACATTCACTGCCTCCAGTTCTTACAGCCACCACCAGAAGTGTGCGTGCTCCTCAACGATCTGCCTGATAACGACTTCAACACGGTGGTGAAGAGCCTGGTCACACTCCATCAAAGCAACAACGAACCTATCGTCGCCACTGGTATCGTACCGGGGTCTTTTTATGAGAGGCTCTTCACTAGTGGTTCCTTGCATCTTGTCTGCTCGTCCAACAGCCTACATTGGCTCTCAAAGGTGTGAGTTTAAAACTGCTCGTTGGATTTATCCACTGCTTTTCTTGGTTAGTTCTGTAAGCAAAACCTTATCTCTACAGGCTCCTGAGGATCTAACAAGGAACCAGATCCCGGCGTATGACATTGATGAGCACACTAGGCTTGAAAGGCACCCTATGGTCATTGAGGCTTATGCACAACAGTTCAGGAAGGACTTCAGAAGTTTCTTGAAGTTCAGAGCCAAAGAATTGATCCCAGGAGGCCGGATGGTCGTCTCCCTTGTAGGGGATTTTTTGTCAAAAGAGGCCACATGCGCAATTGAATTGCCAAAAAAGACCCCCTCTGAGACGATTTGACAAAAAGGACCCCCTCGGCCGTGGCGGCAGGCGCGCCAGGCAACACGTGGCACCTGCCGCCACGGTGTGAGGCGGCGGCCCCTGCCGCCACGGCGTCAGGCGGCAGGCTGCGTGGAACGGGAATCGGCTGGCGCGACCGAACGGGCTGGCGCTGTGGAGCCCTTTCGCCTGAGCGGCTGGCGGCAGGACTATAGCAGCCGGGCCCGGCCGCCTCAGGGGTTGGCGGCAGGCCTGGTAACTTTTTTTTAGCACTACATTCTATTTAACTTTTTTTTTGAGACTCGCCATTATATTTAACTTTTTTTAGAAACACTTATAACTTTATGCATACTCATAAGAATTACAGGCACACTGATTTGGACATAAGATCCAAGAAAATACAAACTAACAACTATGACTAAGAATTACAATGAAATCTCTTGAAAACACCTTATTTGCGGTATCAAACTCTGCTCGAAAAAAACACTCCAAAGACTTCAGTAATGAGGCAGTATGGAGAATCGAACTCGCGCCGCTACATCTGAATTGCTTAGCTAATCACTAGAGCTTCTGAAAGTGGTGGACTGATATCAATGCCAAATGGTTTAGAACTAATGTAGACGCACTATTTATTACTCAGTCATTTACTATATCGCTTAGTTTTTTTAGTTAATTAGAAACAATTTGAAAAAAAGTTTTATTTATGAAAAAAGTTCATAAATTTTGGAAAAAGTTAACGAATTTTCAAAAAAGTTCATCAATTTTCAAAAAAGAAGTTTATCGATTTTGAAAAAATATCATCCAGTTTGAAAAAGTTTATCGATTTGGAAAAATATCAATTTTGAAAAAAAGTTCATCGACTTAAAAAAAAAGTTCACCAATTTATTTTAAAAAATCGTTGATTCGCAAAAAAGTTCATCGAACTTGAAAAAAAAAGTAAAGAAAAGAGGGGGGAAATATTTAGAAAAGAAAGAGAAAAGGAAAGAAAGAAACTAAAAAAAACGGTTCACAAAAAACTCAAAAACTTAAAAAGTAGAGAGAACGGCTAGGGAAAGTATAAACAAAGAAAATGATATAGATTATCACAACCTGTAGTCAGCCCCCCCCCCCTCTGGTTAGTGCGTGTTCACGCTTAAGCTGCAGTTAGCGGGTTTGATTCTCTCTCTCGCACAATTTTTGCATATTCAAACGAGAATAAAGAGTGAAATGGGCCGGCCCAACGCGTGAAGGGAGTGTGTGCTGGTTTGCCCAATGACCCATAACCGGTGCCTGCAGCGCTAAATAAGAAACGCTTATATCTCGCATATAGCGTGTCATGCTTCAGACTTGCTTAAGGGACGAGCAAGATGGACCGGCACTCATGTGCGGGACGCCACAGCCCCTCTTTGCTTTCTTTTTTTACGTTTTCTGTTTTTGTTGCTTTATTTTCATAATTTTTTTTATACTTTAAAATATTCTAAGTATATATATTCCAAAGAACACTCTACAAATGTTTTTTGAAAAATGTTGAACAAGTATTTTGAAAAATGTTAATCAATTATTCAGACAATGTTGAACACGTATAGAAACGTTTTTTATCATCAATTAAAAATGATAAATTTTTCAATCATGTATATAAAAATGTTCATCAAGCACTTGAAAAAAATGTTGGACAAGTATTTAAAAAATGTAATCAAGCGTTTGGGAAAGGTTAACTGTCTATAGAAAAAATGATGTGCATCTATTAAAAAAATGATGAAATTTTTTATCATGTACTTCCTCCGTTCTTAAATATAAATCTTTTTAGAGATTTTGCAATATGGACTGCATAAGGAGTAAAATAAGTGAATCTACACTCTAAATTACGTCTATATACAAATGTATGTAGTTAATATTGAGATCTCTATAAAGGCTTATATTTAGGAACGGTGGGAGTATATAAAAATGGTAATCAAGCATTTGAAAAAATGTTGAACAAGTGTTTGACAAATGTTAATCAAGCGTTTGCAAAATGTTAAATGTGTATAGAAAAAAATGTTGACCATGTACTCTAAAAATGCAAATCTTTTTATTTGAAAACTGTTAATCAAGCATTTTAAAAATATAAAAAATGTATAGAAAATGTTGACCATGTATTAAAAAATGTTAATTTTGTATTTCAAAATTGTCAAACAAACATTTGAAAAATGTTTAAAAATGTGTGTACAAGAAATGTTGACCGTATATTAAAAAAATGTTAAATTTGTATTTGGAAAAATTTTAAACGTGTAATAAAAAAATGTTGTTGACATATAAAAAAATGTAGAATGGAAACCAAGAGAAACAAAGAATATGAAAAAAATGAAAACCCTTCCTAAAAAATATTCCACTATTCAGTATTTTTGGCGAACCCAATGGTCATATTTTCACCCTTCCTAAATACAGTCACCGGGATAAAACCTAGAGCCAAGTTGTTATACTATAGATGTAATTTGGATTATGTTTGAAATGCTTTATACTTCCGGGAAACTTTCATTAATAGATCCGGATCCTTTTCACCAAAAAAAAAAGATGCAATTTGCTCTTTATGTATTGGCGTCAAGGTTTTGGTTACCAGTCGAAATTTCAAGATTTCCCATGGTTACCACGTATTTCCGTGCCCCTCGGTAAATCGTCATACCGAGCAAAAAATACCATTTTTTTGAAATTTTTGAATTTAAACACTCGATTTACAGTAAGGTATGTAGGGTCTAATTAATGCAATGAAAGTTGGTTATGGCATGTTGGTAGCAACCTAGTTCCTGTTTTGAGAGGTCTCTGGTTTGAATATTCGTTCATTTTCTTATTTGAATTCAAAATTCAACTATAAAATTCGCTCGAAATATTCTCGGTATTTGTCGGTATTTCTCGGTAACCGTGGTAACCACATTTATCAGTCCCCCTCGGTAAAATTACCTCATTCGGTAACCAAAACCTTGATTGGCGTGCAGCTAATGCAAAGCAGCTAGATGGAATAAGCATCTCCCAGCTGGTCCCTAGAAAAGCATTTTCCTGTTAGCCATGTCTTTCTTGGTCGCACAAATCAGGCACCGCCGTCATGTTCACACAAGCGTACCTTTTGGCATGACAAGGCGCCACATCAGCTTGGGGGCGCCGATGATGCATAATCGTATTTCAAGGGGGTTTTCTACCTGTCGAGAAAAAAGTGTGCATTACAAATAGATTGTTAGTAGTTACAGCCCAAAGTGTAGCTAGGTATGTACTATGTAGGAAAAGAAGCAGCAGCAATGTGAATGATAAGCTGAACTAACAAAGAAGGCCAAATAGAGTAGCATAGATCCCATGCGTGCACAATTTAAAAGATGAACATTGGTTGGTTGATGCCTGTTAAGCTGCCAGCATACAAGCTTGGTACAAAGGCAAGGGAACAAATACTTAAACAAGACTAGCAGGCTGCAGCTTGCAGATTCCTGGAAAACATCATGCCAAAGCCAAGGCACCGTGATGCCATGCATATGCATCCACCCACCCAGCTATATAAACTAGGCAAGAGCTCAACGTGGAACCACAGCTTCACATCGCCGCCTCAAGGCGTCTAGCTTCTTCGTGCTCCAGTTCCAGTTCCACCGTCAAATATGGCCCAGCAAGAGATCAAACAAGTAGCAGCATCCCAGACCCACAATCCAGGGGAGCCAGATAAGCTGCCCGTGGCTGGGGGCAACAAGCAGCCTCCTTCAATGGAGTACCAGCTGAAGGAGTACCTTCTGCTGCTGGCCACCCTGGTGGCGACAGTGACGTACGCGGCGGGGCTCAACCTGCCGGGGGGAGTCTGGCAGGAGGACACGCATGGCGGACCACACATCGCAGGTAAACACGACGTTCGCGACTTGGTGTAAATCTTTTCTTGATATGCTTACTTTATATATCCGGGCTCTTGCGGCATCACTACTTGTAGGTGACCCCATCCTCCCTGACACGCACTACCGCCGGTACTTGGCCTTCTACTACTGCAACGCAACGGCGTTTATTGCGTCGCTTGTGGCGTGCCTCCTTCTCGTCTTCCTTGATGAGAAGACGAAGTGGGCCACCGTCCTACGGGCGGTCATGGTGCTCGACCTGTTCGGCCTCATGGGGGCCTACGCCGCCGGGAGCTGCCGGGACAAGTTCACCACCATCTACTCCTCGCTGCTGGTCTCGGCCGTCTTTGCCTACATCACGCGCATCTTCGTCATCTACGCCTTCCGGCGGATGCAGGTGAGGGTGCTGACCAAGAGAACGCAAGGCAAGGGTGACCCCAAGAAGCAACATGAACAGCAAGACAAGGAGGAGGTGCAGGCCGGTGACCTGGAGAAGCAAAACAAGGAGAAGGAGCATGATGCCAACAGGCGCGCCGAGGAGCACGATGTACTGATGCTTCTAGCGACCTTCGTCGTCGCCATCACGTATGTGGCCGGGCTGGGCCCGCCCGGCGGGTTCTGGGGCAGCACCCAGGACGGACACCACGTGAGCGACCCGGTCATGCAGGAGCACTACTCCGCCCGGTACCAGGCCTTCTTCGTGTGCAACACCACCGCCTTCGTCGCTTCCCTCCTCATCATCGTACTGCTCATGAACAAGGAGCTCAGCGAGGCTATGACCGAAGCCAACAAGGCTATCACCAGAGCCAACAAGGCTTTCTCTGGAGAGATCTTCTCTAAAAGTTTCATCGCGCTCTACGGGTTCATCGCCCTGGCACTCACCGGACTCGTGGGGGCCTATGCTGCAGGAAGCTGCAGGGAGCCTGATGCTACCATCTATGTGGTTTGCCTGGCTGGCGCGGTTCTTGCATACATATTTCTACAGGTGGCTATTCCTAGAGCCATGGGGAAGGAGTATTGCGTCTATAATCCTTCAGGATGGCTCATGAAAATATATGGCATGTTGAACAGGTATATGAGCACGTATTTTTTTTTGTTATTTCTAGCTTCCTTGGTATCATTGACACACATAATTCAATTCTTGGATACAAGTAATTTTAACTTTATATCCATATATGCAACTACCAGCAGGGACAGTGGTGCGCAACAAGATGACAAATTATTGGAAAAGAATCGCTCTCTTGTCATGTTGCTTGCTACTCTCGTGGTGAGCATCACTTACTCAGCAGGACTGGATCCACCTGGCGGCCTCTGGCCAGATGACCGGGATGGGCACAAGGGCGGCGACCCGGTACTCCTCACAACCCATCCCACTCGGTACAAGGTGTTCTTCTATAGCAACTCAGCCGCCTTCGTGACATCCTTGGTGGTCATCATAATGGTCCGGTGTCAATTTCTACTCCGGCGCCATATATTGCATGCAGCCATGATACTGGATTTGTTTGGCCTCATCACTGCATACTCCGCAGGGAGCGGCAGAGATTTAGCCACATCCATATATGTTGTCGCCCTGGCAGGTGCCGTCCTTGTGTATGTGGTGATTCATATAGTGTTCTTCACACTAGAAGATAACATCGATCACCAAGACGCCGATAAGTTGGATAAGAGGCGTGACATGCTGCTGCTGCTTGCCATCTTGGCTGCAACACTGACTTACCAAGCTGGGCTCACCCCACCAGGTGGCTTCTGGTCAGCCGATGACAAGTTTGGTCATCATGCGGGGTTCCCGGTCTTCCTTGATAACTACCCACGCCGTTACAGTGCATTCTTCTACTGCAATGCAGCAAGCTTCATGGCATCTGTGACTCTCATAGTTCTTCTGGTGAACCCCACCCTATACAAGCCGGGCATAAGGTGTTACGCACTCTATGTGTGCACGGTGGTGGGCATGTTTGGCCTCATGGGTGCCTATGCTGCTGGAAGCTCCCGCCATCTGCGAACCTCCATCTATGTGTTCATTTTAGTTGCTGCAGTGCTTGCATTCTTGACCATCCAGGTGGTCATAAGTTATAAAGGGAGGCCCACGTCTGCTCCAGTAAAAGTGTCCTCTGGGCAAGAAGGCAGCACCAGTGAGTCTTCCGGGAAAGTGGACACTGCCAGCCACACAGACACAGGAACAGAAGTAAAGAACCTTCGTGAGTACTTGATGCCGATAGGAGTCTTGGCTGCGAGTGTAACATACCAGACTGGCCTGAAACCACCAGGTGGCCTCTGGCAGGACAACAACAACGGGCATACTGCAGGCAACTCAATCCTACATGACACCGACAGAGGCCGGTACCGTGCTTTCTTCTATAGCAACTCCACTTCGTTCATGGCTTCTATTGTCGTCATTGTGTTGCTACTTCCATGGAAAGGCCTCAACTTGCCACTGGGGCGAATGTATGCAGCCATTTTGCTAGACATGCTAGGCCTTCTTGTAGCCTATGCAGCTGGCAGCACCAGGGAATGGGAGACGTCCAGCCTTGTCATCGCTCTCGTCGTTCCTGTGCTGGCCTACATTGCAGCCTATGCAGCAGTGTTGTTGTTCCCCAACAAGTGCCCATGTGGCAACAGCCAGACCAACAGAGATTCCGCATGAAGCACCAAACGATGAAGAAAAAGTTCGGGCGTGAAATGATTTTTTATCTTCTTTCCAGGTTTATTCAACTGCAAATAATGTGTGTGTGTGTGTTTCAGGATATACAGTTTTTTATTCACATGTACTTTCCATATGATATATATATACCAAGTTCTTGTGTACAACTATTGAGTATTGACATGTTCTCAAACAATAAAAATGCTAGTGCAGAGCTTTCATCTCAAGCGATCTCATTGGTCTAGGCAATGATGGTGCCTTTATGGCCTTCTGTTGCAATTGCTAGCATTCTGCTCTTTAGGGCATCTCCAATGGTTGTAAGATAGTTGTTGGTAGACTTTGCCACATAGGATTTTTGATGATGTGTCATACAATAAATGAGGGAAGAGAGGAAGGTTGTATGTACATGAACCAACACCCCTTGCACAAGCTCCAATGTAGAATGAGAGAGCACCTTATTTATTATTTCACATCCTATTGGACAAACTAGATACAACCCATTGGAGTTGTTGTATGTTAAGGTGTTGGTTGATGACATGACATATTTTACCAACAAGCTAACATACAAACTGTTGAAGATGCCCTTACCGGCATTGCTTGCCTCACTCTGTCTGCTTCATTTGGTCAAACTCTTGTTCTTTGTTCAATTTATTTCAGCATGACCTCCTGTCTCCTACCGCTCGGTAATAAAAAATGAAGTTCATCTCTTAGTTGGCCCCAACATAAGCACACATCCAATGAGGTTACCACCTGCTTCTGATTTAGCACCAACGTTGGCAAACTAAGAGATGAACTTCATAAGCACCAATCTTGTCCCAACCCTCCCAGTTCAAGTGGTTACCACGAGCAAGACGATGAGCTGCAAACTTGCTTTTGCAGTTGTGCCCGACATAACCACATTGGTGCTACTTCAGGTAAGAGATGGTTCACAAAAGAAGTGAATTTCATTACCTTGTAGTAGCCAATGAGCATGATGTACATGAGCGGTGAAAGAGTTAACATACTCCGGCTGCATATCCCGGAAGGATGGGCTGAACATCCTGGACGGAGACATACAACCGGTGTGCCATCCAGCAGCAGTTGTGCACGCAAGGGTTTTCGGGAGCCCAAGAGAGGAGGGTGTGGTGGTGGCGCAAGAGAAGAAGGACAATGGAAGGGATCGTGGGTCGGGTCTGGATATGGGCTTCAAGCCGTTATAATTAAGTGACCACACTAGCGTTAACTACCCAATTGTGCCTTGAGGTTTATGCAAAGAAAAGTTTTTTTAGCCTTGTGCAAAGAAAAGTTGGAAGAGCTTCGAAACACTCCATTTTGGTGTGCGGGAGAAGCATTCCTTGTTGTTTAGCCTTGTACCGTATGTTGCAAGTGGTAAACGGTGGTACTCCTGCTTGGGAACCACTATCAGATTCCGGCCTTGATGCTTAAGGAGATTTTGGGAGTTCAGATCCGCTTGACTGCCCATGAGGATAGATGATCTAGCGGTGCCAAGGTAACGGAGGGCAATGACTTTTCAAACTCAAGTACTGGATGACTTCTCGGGTCTAAACAAAGTACAGAATGGCTTCACAGGCTCCCCTGGTTTCACAAAGTGATGATTTGGACATTGGCATGGCCTTCAAAATTTAACTCTAACCAATAATTTCTACTACAGTTTATCCATAAAACCCCCAAAATTGTAATATTCTGAAAATATTTCTGAGGCAACCATTTTGAAAGCAAGAATGGCAACTACTTAGTGACCTAAATGCTCTTATATTTCTTTACGGAGGGAGTTCAAGTTTTTTAAATGACTCAAGGTATGTCCAAACGTCGACTATTTGTAAACGGGAGGGAACTAGGTGTTTTTCAGCTTTTAGATAGTGTTGCATGAGTTCATAGAGAGCCAAGATCTCCATCATGCAGATTTTTAGAAGATTGAAAATTCAGAAAGAGAGGATAATAATCAGCAGACTCTCATATTGCAAGTTACGTCAAAATAGAGAATGCTGGTGGGCAATTAAAATTAGGAAGTATCATCCTTACATTCTATTTGAAGGGTCAAAGGAGAACTCCTTATCCTTATGCTGATATGCTCTGTGCTCATGATGATCCTCGTTGATCGACTGGAATTTGAGGATCTTTTGAACGCTTGCGAGATGTTTCACCTCCTTGGATGGTCCTTCCTTACAACTGCTGCCTAGCTTATCCTTATTTACTTTGAGAGGTACAGTCCGATCATGAACTGGTTTTGATGGAGCATCTGAGAAGGAACACATTGAAACAGCAAATGAATGCACTGAAAAAATCACATTAGGGTGCACGGAAGGAGTAATGAGCTCCTAATGAATGGCAATGTTAGCCTGCCTTTCTGACAAGTTCAATGGAGGAGGGGGGGTTGTGTGCAAACAAGATCATTTCATATTAAACACTTAACAAAGAAAGAGGAGCAGAGGTATGTTATCAGTGCAAACACTTACCACTTTCCGAAAATAAATAATATGTGCCGACCGTTTCTTCATACTCTCCAATCTGTCATTAAACAAGGTCTCAGCAATCAGCTCACTCAGCAGGTAGGTTAACGATTGGAAGCCCTTCAGTACAAATTTTCCACAGCAGAAGTAATCACAATGGAAGGAAAACCAATGAAGTTTACTGGTACAGGTAATAAGTAATATCATTCAAACACAATGGTTTTTAGTGCTAAAGCTGTCACAAAGAATTTATGGAATTCAAATGTGGCTTGGTTCTATCTACTCCCCAAGAACTTAAACAGAAAAAAAAATAGAGTTCAGAAAAATACTCTAGAGAGCCTCTATAAAAAAACGCTTCAACATTTCTTGATAAATGGGTGTATCCAAATAGCACTTTAGCATAACAACTACAAGTGAAGTTCTAACAGTCATACATTAGCTTATATTTGTACACACAAAGGATTTACATCATTACCAACATATTGACACTCCACATCTAGTGGTATGGTCAAATAGAGAATGCAAATATAGAACATCGCTGCTAAAAGTTCAATAAGATAAAATTTCAAACAGCCAAGCAACATGAGTACTCACCATGTTCACGCCGCGACCTACTATCAAGTTAGGGGTCGGTGTATCCAAAACCTGAAAAACATGCTTAAAAGAACTTAGTGGACTAGCCAACCACTAAACATCTCACAAAAATAACATTGACTTCTTCGCATCAAGAAATTGTGATACCAATCTCGTAGTCTGTACACAGTAGGGCCCTGAAAATCTAAATAAGCAGGAGACATGCTGAAAACTAACCATGTCCCAACATGATTACAGCCCAGATTTTCCCACAAAATCTGCTGAAGAGACATATACATCGTGAACAGCATTTTGTATCTGATGATGGTAACCCTTGACAGTGTCAACCTAAAAAACAAATCTGAAGGAGATTTTGGTCAAATACAAGAAAGGCATCTGGTCCCTTGATGTAATAATATGAGTAGGCAGTAGCACACCAGCGCTAGTGTAATCAGCACATAGCTTGCTGCTTCATCTTCATGTTAAACAAGGGGAAAAAATGATGTGGAACTATACTCGCCATTTAAACATTTCTGATAATCAAATATAAAGTCGTTCTTGATATCAATAGCATAGAGGTAGCAAAATTGCCTAAGGAAACATTCACAACAGAGACTAATATCCTTTTGTACTAGTATAAGCTGCAGAAACAGAGAAGAAGCAACTTACAGAGAGTATATAAGGGGCATCTGGTTGAATGTTGGAATGGAGACAACCATCCAACTCTAGCAAGACATACTCTTCTTCCTCTTCCTCTTCCTCTTCCTCTTGTCCAATTTGCTTGTCTCTCTCGTGTTCAGTTGCCATCTCCAACAAGAATGTGCACTCACACAGCAGTAAAAGTACATAAAACCGGCACTTGAGACTTGACCAACCTCGCCTGCAGAGCCCAAAAGCAGGGGATGAATGCAGCACAAGGTACAACAACCTACAGTATAAATTAGCTGAATAGACAACGTTAGCATACTCCCTATTTAAGAGGATTAAATCCAGAATCAGTCGATCTCTGAAATTCCTCCCCCTGCCCTCCGTTGCGGCGTACCCTGCTCCTGCTCGCCGTCACCGGCCTACCGACCCTGCAACCCCGCCCACCGCTACAGCGCCCCGCCTGCCGCCGCCGGCTAGTGCCCTGGGAAGGCAGAGGGCGCGTGCCGTACTGTACCAGCACGCCCGGGATCCCGTCGCTTCCTCCCCGCCGGCGCGCGCCTGCTGGACGCCGCCTTAGGGTTTTTTTCTTCTTTTTAGAAATGACGCCGCCGTAGGCAGAGGGACAGTGAGGAATAGCCACGGAAACGACGGAAGAAAGGTAGTGGGCTTTCCAAGGTCCTTCACTAAAAGGCCTCCTGGACTTCTTAGCAAATGGGCTGGAAGCCCCCAGGCCAGTCACTCACACACACCAAGAAGAGTACCAGCTCGCTCTCTCTCTCTCTCCCGTGGAAGAGGTCCCTCTGTTTTTCCAAATATAAATGATAAAAAAACCATTCATGCAACTCATGTAGGAGCATGCCGTTTAATAAAGTCAGATGAGAAGGCAAGATACACACATTGCAGATGCAGTAAAATTTGTTTCTACTACTAGTTTTAAGGCCCAACACAGGTACTTGCAGGCCCAGACCAACACATATTTGCATGATCCAGGCACCCCCCCCCCCCTCCATTTTTCTTCTAGATTCGCC